TAAAGGAATTTATCACTGAGTGTATAGATCATAAGTTTCTTTTATGATTATAAGTTGATGGAAATTTTTTCCCACCCTCTTTCTTATTCTCTTAATAACCCTGTGTAGGTTCATGAAGGATTCCTGGAGAGTAAAGCACTTGTTTTGAATAGCACCAATTCATCAAATCCATGTGAGAGAAGAAGTATTGACCTAAGGATATATATGCTTTGCTTTCTTCCATTTTTAATTCTCTTGGTCTTCATTCGTGACCTGAAGAATCTGTTCATGCTCTCATTCCTTGCCAACATTTCCATGGCCGTCAGTCTTGTGATAATTTATCAATACGTTGTTAGGGTAAGTATAACAAGTTTTCACTGTCATATGTTTCTTAATAAGTAAATTTTTTGTTTACTTTGGAGGTAAAAGTAGTGATGTGTGAAGACCCCTGCTTCACATGTGGCACACAGGAGATAATCAGAACAAGTTGCTTTCCTTTTAGAGCAGTAGTTCTCAACCTTCCTGACGCCGCGACCCTTTAATACAGTTCCTCATGTTGTGGTGACCTCCAACCATAAAATTATTTTCGTTGCTACTTCATAACTGTAATTTTGCTACTGTTATGAATCGTAATGTAAATATCTGATATGCAGGATGTATTTTCATTGTTACAAATTGAACATAATTAAAGCATAGTGATTAATCACAAAAACAATATGTAATTATATATTTAACTAGGAGCTCAGTGCATGAATTCATGCACCTTAAAAGGAACTGTGGACCGTGAGGCTGCGGTGGGCACAGGGGTGGGTCTCGGCCCATCCTCCGCACCCCCACCCAGCCCCTCCGGCTGCGGCCCCTGGTCCCCTGTCTGCTGGCAGCCCTGCTCCTGCTGCTTCTGCTCCCACATGCTGATGGCGCTGGCCCACTTGCACCTGGGTGCGAGTAGCAGCTACTGTCCGAGCACCCCTCAGGAGCAGCGGGAGGTGAAGCCCTCAGGGGTGATCGGGGTGGCAGCCGCTGCTCACACCCGCTGATGGCGCTGAGCAGTCAGGGCCGGTGCTAGGCACCAGCAGCGGGTGTGAGCGGGGGCTCCAGCGCCAGTAGCAGGTACGAGTGGAGCTGGTGCTGGCAGCAAGTGCGAGCACCGGGCAGGACCATGGCGCATGGAAGCAAAGAATTTTCAGTAACCACCAGAGGCTTGCTTGGATGACAGCGACCAGCACCCCTCTTTGGTCTGACGCCCCCTCTCACCTCCACCATCCTGCCGCAGCCAACGCCCGCCATGTTCCGAGCACATCCCCTGGTGGTCAGCGCACATCATAGCAACTGGTAGTTCAGTTGTTCAGTTGTTCCGCCTTTTGGTCTATTTGCATATTAGCTTTTTATTATATAGGACTAGAGGCCTGGTGCACAAAAATTTGTGCACTTGGGGGGGGGTCCCTCAGCCTGGCCTGTGCTCTCTCGCAGTCTGGGACCCCTCAGGGGATGACCACCTGCTGGCTTAGGCCTGCTCCTCGGGGGATTGGGCCTAAGCTGGCAATCAGACATCACTCTGGCAGCCTGGGAGCCCTTGGGGGATGTCCACTTGCCAGCGGGGAGCAGGCCTAAGCTGCAGTCGGACATCCTTAGTGCTGCTGAGGAGGCGGGAGGGGCTCCCACCACCACCACTGTACTGGCAGCCGTCAGCCTGGCTTGTGGCTGAGCAGAGCTCCCCCATGTGGGAGCATACTGACCACCAGGGGGCAGCTCCTGCATTGAGCGTCTGCCCCCTGGTGTCAGTGTGTGTCATAGTGACCAGTCATTCCCAGTCGTTCTGCTGTTAGGGTCAGTTTGCATATTACCCTTTTATTATATAAGATAGAGGCCTGGTGCATGGGTGGGGGCCGGCTGGTTTGGCCCTGAAGGGTGTCCCGGATCAGGGTGGGGGTCCCGCTGGAGTGCCTGGCAAGCCTGGTGAGGGGCTGATGGCTGTTTGCAGGCTGGTCAAGCCCCCCCCGCCAGTGGGGACCATCACCCCATGAAGGTTTGGCCAGGCTGAGTGAGGGGTTGATGGCTGTTTTCAGGCTGGCCACACCCCCTTTAGGGTAGGGGGTCCGCACTGGGGTGCCTGGCCAGTCTGGGTGAGGGGCTGAGGGCCGTTTTCAGGCTGGCCAAGCCCCCCAGTGTCGGAAGCTCCAAGCCTCTCCTTTTTTTTTTTTTTAATCTGGGATTTATTTACCTTCTATAATTGAAACTTTGTAGCCTTCAGTGGAGCTCAGAGCTGGCCAGGGTGGGTCGGGAAGCTTGGCTTCCTCCATTGCCAGGGGCAACCAAGCCTCCTGCTTGCTCCAGCTCCGTGGCCACGGCCGGCCGAAAGCAGGTATCTGGAGTTTATTTACCTTCTATAATTGAAACTTTGTTGCCTTGAGTGGAGCTTAGAGCCAGCCACGGCAGGCGGGAAGCTTGGCTTCCTCCATCACAGGGGCAACCAAGCCTCCTGCTCGCTCCAGCTCTATGGCTGCTGGCCGCCATCTTGGTTGGGTTAATTTGCATATAGTCGCTCTGATTGGCTGGTGGGCATGGGTTAAGGCATAGCGGAGGTATGGTCAATTTGCATGTTTGTCTTTTATTACTGTAGATATGTTTTCCTATGGTCTTAGGCAACCCCTGTGAAAGGGTCGTTTGACCCCCAAAGGGGTCGCGACCCACAGCTTGAGAACCACTGTTTTAGAGGATACTGCTGATTGCACCCATGTGTGACCTAGAGGTTTAAATTACAGGCTTCGTAGTTAGATCTGGTATTGAAGCTTGGTAACTGCTTCTGGGCTTTATGGTATGGCTTCCAAAGGTAGTAATACTCACCTATTAGAGTTGTGCGATTTAGGGTCACACCTTGGTACACTGCCTAAAAACTTGTTAGTGTTTTGTTTATTCCTTTAAGATTTGAATCAATCATAAGAGATGGTGATATAGATGTAATTTTATAGTTTTCTTTCACTTCTGAGCCTTTATTTGCTACTACCACTTCAGTCCACTGACACTGCATTAGTCTGTAACCTCTTTATTGGAACTGTGCAGTTAACCTCAACTGATTCCATTGTTCATAATCTGGGGATTCTTAACCCACTTTCCTTAAAAGAATGTATTCAAGGGATTCTGCAAATCCCTTGAAATTATTTGTAAGATTTAATGAGCTTCTCGCTGTATGTGTGTGCTTTCTCCTGGGCACCTATACAGCTTTCATCTCTCAGACGGGCCAAGGACTCAAGAAAGGTGGAGACTCTTTGCTCTTTCTTTCCTGACCCAATCCATCTTGCGTATTGCTGCCAAAGCAGTTATTCTGAAATCTCCCAATAGCATTGATTACAGATTCTCTTATGATGGATAGATATTTCACCCTCCCCCCGCCCCCCAAATTCCAAAACCTGTAGGCTCTTTCTTATAGCATGTACAAATGGAAGGGGACAGGCAGGAATATCTTAAGACTTCCTGGAGTTCATGATCCTTAGCTGAACGAGGAAGAGTTAGTGGAGCAGAAAAGGAAGTTCCTTAAATAGAAGGGGCATTGTGAGCATTGAATAACAGTTTAATGTTATCAGATGATACAAACACTTTAATACCCTTTTTATTCTGACTCTAGCTTATATTTTTAGTCATGTATCACCATTAATCACACAATTCTACCTAAGTTTCAAATGTTCTAGACCTCTCTATTTCCCAAATTACCTGTGTGCTTTCACACTTCAATGTCTTATCCTCTTTCATCCTCTTTCCCTGGCCTTAAATTCCCCTTGCAATCAGATAAGGCAGAGAGCAGGGTTGGGACTAGGAGAGTAGGGACTAGGAGACTTGGGGTTGCTGGAAGAAGTGGCCATTGTGGAGCCAGAGATCTTGAACAAGATGTGCAGTTTGTAAGTTTTCAGATAGTGAGAGTCGGAACAAGGCTATGAGTCAGGACCAGGTAATCACAGCCCGAGTCAAGGTATATGCACAAGTAATAAGCTTCATGTCAGCTCTCAGGTCAGAGACTAACACACTGAAAACGGGGGACCTGGGCTAGGGAGCAGCACAGCATGATGAGGTAGAAAGTCAGAGTCTGGAGCCAGGTGTCTTAGAGACTGAGCCATGAAAATAGAGAAGGAATTTCGTTGACCATCCATAGTAGTTGATAACTGATTAAATGGCTCTCAGTCCCTGAGTATGCTTATATGTTTCCTGTTGTGGTAGGAGCCATACCCAGTGTGAACAGCCTGGGATTTGCAGATGGAAACAGGTAATAAGGAGCATTTAGCTCAGATGGAATGTGTGGGCATGAGGAAAACAACTGCTTTGGCAGTGGAATCCTAACAGCTTGGCTACATTTAACAGAGGATGCTTAAAGTGCTTATTGGAAGAATTATTCATTTTTGTAATGCATATGGGATGGGGCAAAAGTAGGTTTACATTTGTTCATGTGGAAATAACACAATAATTAAATAATACAATAATAATATGTTTTGGGTACTCAAACTGTAAACCTACCTTTGCCCCACCCTGTACCTGCTGCTGTAAAGCTGGCAAGTGTGTGATTTTGCTCTTCCATTTAAAATTCTTTAAAGTAAGTACAGATGTAACGTGCCTTATTTTTTTCTTTCTTTCTCCAGAATATGCCAGATCCCCACAACCTTCCAATAGTGGCTGGTTGGAAAAAATACCCACTTTTTTTTGGTACTGCTGTATTTGCTTTTGAAGGCATAGGAGTGGTAAGGATTCAGTCTTTATTATTTTTTATAATATTAAATCAACTCAAAGATTTATGTAGTCTGCATTTAAAATGTATGTTTTTAATATTTCTATTTATTTCTAGAATATGATTTGCATTTCTTAGACATATCACTTAAATTCTAATTCTCTTTATCTTAATCTGTAACATGAGGACATTATATTAGATGATTTTTAAAATTTTATTATGGAAAATTTCAAACATATACAAAATTTAGAGAATAGTATGATGAATTTTTATGTAAGCATAACCTAGTTTAAAAAACCATTAACTCATGGCCAGTTTTGTTTTATCTATATTCCATTTACTCTACCAAGCCTGGATTATATTCAAATCCCAAACATCATATTGTATAGACTAGATGACTTGAAGTGAATTGAAATTCTTATAGTGTTACTCTTTCATAAGAAGAGTCAAATTGTCAAATCTAATATGCATAGATTTGTGCATATTATGTTTGTTTTGAAAAATAATGTCATTATAAGGGTAATTCCAGGAGATACAGGCATCCTGAGGATTTCAAGACTTTAAATATTTCCTTTCAAGATTCTTCCAGTTTTTTAAAAGCCTGGAATGTGTAGATTTGTGGAAAATAGACTATCGCTCTCTACTCCGTAGCTTATGTTTCATAGTCTGATGGTTTCTTATGGGAGCAAAACTACTTACAAACACCTGTTAATATGAACCACAGACAAAATAGATGTAAAAGACAATTTTACACCATTTCACTTGGGTTTCTGCTTTCTGAATTCTCCTATAGAGAATTCTCACAAGTTCTTGCAGCTCCACTTACCACTGTTACAGGCAGTCTCATTCAGATTTTCATGTCTGTCTTTACCTACTAAGCTTTCGTTAACTGTTGGATATTTACAGTTAAGTGTTTTTTGTTTTTTTTTCTGACATCTCAAATTCAACAACTCCAGATTTTGACACATACTTTCTTAAGCTTTACTTTTTCACTTCCCTATTTCTCTCATTTTACTTTCAATAGCTGAAGCTTGAAACATTGGAATAATTCTTTTCACTGTTACTGATTTCCTCATTCCAGTCAGTAATTAAGGCATGTTGATTCTTCTTCCATGTTTCCCCAAATCTATTCAGTGAGACTTGACACAGAGGGAGGTTTCCTAAATGCTAATTCTTCCCCTCCCCCTTTTCTAGCTTCACAGGCACTATTCTTGATGGTAGCCCCTTATTTCAGGCCTGAATTATGTCGAGAGCACCCAAGTTGTTCCCTGTCCTCTCTTCTGTTAACCAGTTAATATTTCCATATGGATCTGAAAAGTGGAATATTAGAGTTATTATTGCACAGGGTTATTGTGAGGATAATGTGAGATGCTACATGCAAAGCCTTTAGAAAAATGTGTGGTACACTGTAAGCTCTCAGTAAATAATTACTATTATTGTTACTTAGTGTCTTTACAGTATGGTCAAATCATATGACCAAAGTCTCTGAAGATTTGCCTAAAAACTTAACATTTTAATTAGCCTTTTTTCTTTTCCTTTACTTTTTTACATAATAAAAACTACTTATTCATCTCACTAAATTGACAGTAGATACAGATGGAAAAATATAGAAGCAATTATAGACATGTGTATACATGGGTTACTATACGTATGTTTTCTAGCACTGTCTGCTGAGAGGCCCCATAAGCAGTGATACCCAAGTAGCAATAAGCACACCGAGCACCCAGATCCTGATTTCTAGATACCATTCTCAACAAAAGAACCAAAGTTCCGTGAAGAAATGGCTGATTCTGGGGTTGAAGCAAGGAAATTCAAGATGAGTCTGGAGCATCTTGTAGTGCCAGGAAGTATGGAAGTGCTCAAAAAAACAAAAGAATGGAGGCAGGTCAACAGGACACAGAAACCAACCTGATAGAATTTACAGTGACCAAAGCTGGAACAATATAAGTAACAAAATAAATAACAGTGTTTTGTATTCATACTCAAAGTATAAATAAATACATGAATCCATACTATTGTAAATTAAATAATTTAATAATTTAATCAAATAAGGGGGATTTCCAAATAATTTATGTAACTGCTCCCTCTGCAGGAGGTGTAGCTTAATCCCCCCCTAGACCCTGGAGTGTGGGCTGGCTGCCTTGAGTGACTTGCTTCCAAGGAACAGAGTAGGATGAGGGGGGAAGAAAAGACGTTTACAAGCAGAGAAACCTGGCCAGCACTGCCTTAACCAAGTGATCAAAATTAACTTCACCAGTGATAACTCATGTTGATTACAAGTGTGATGAGAAGGGCACTTCACCCCTATGGTAACCTTTTCTAAAACTAAAATCCCAGTCTAGTCAAACATCAGACTAAATACCTAGCTGATATTCTTCAGAACTATCAAGATAATGAAGAATAAGGAAAGACTGAGGAACTCTCACAGACCCAAGGAGAGCAAGGAGGCTGGTGACAAAATGCAGTGGGTGTCCTTGGCGGGATGGACACTGGACCAGGAAAAGGACATGTGGAGAATCCAGTGAAATGCACCAGTGTTGGTCCTTAATTGTTAACAAATGTACTTTGGTTGTGTAAAATGTTAATAAGAGAAAGTGTTGAAATTATTATTTTTTTAAACAAACAGGTTTGTCCACTAAGAACTGATTTTAAATTTTTTAAAGAGTTTAAAAATCTGTAGTGATAAAATACTTCAACATTTATAAGTGTTTTAAAGGAAAAAGATTTTCAGATAAACTACAGAAAGATTAATTTGTATATATATGACAAGAAACTAGATGGCTTTAAATGATTTGTATTATTTGCACTCTCTTCTTAGGTCCTTCCACTTGAAAATCAAATGAGAGAATCAAAACGCTTCCCCCAAGCATTGAACATTGGCATGCTAATTGTTACAACTTTGTATGTAACATTAGCTACCTTAGGATATATGTGTTTTCAGGATGAAATCAAAGGCAGCATAACTTTAAATCTTCCTCAAGACGTATGGTAGGTAGCTATGAGTATCTCAATCCTAGTTTGTATATTATATATAGTTTGCCAATATTTGATGATAAAGGTGAATTTTTGGATTTATAGTTTAAATATACGAATTTTTACTGATTTCTTTATTTGTGTAATCTAGAATATTTTTATAATATTCAGAGGAGAACATCTTTGATTTTACAGGTCTTTATGGGCTTTTTCAAAAAGATAAAAAATTGTAGTTTGTTCCAAAATTGAGTAAAGTATAAGAGTAAAACAAGGATTCTTTTAATATAGACACTTTAATAAAAAGTTTAACACTTATTCTTACTGCCAAAAAATCCAAAACTCCAGTTCCTGATAAAATAATATAACCTGGCCCTAGCTGGTTTGGCTCAGTGGATAGAGCATTGGCCTGCGGACTGAAGGGTCCCAGGTTCAATTCCAGTCAAAGGCACATCCCTGGGTTTCAGGTTCGATCCTCAGTAGAGGGTGTGCAGGAGGCAGCTGATCAATGTTTCTCTCTCATCATCGATGTTTCTGTCTCTCTCTCTCCCTCTTCCTTTCTCTCTGAAAAATAAAAACAAAACCAAAAAAACCACACACACAAAAACTAAAGATATGTATGCTTTAAATAAATAATATAACCTGTCACTTTGGTACCCCACTATTTTACTGATCAGCTTAATATTGTATATACCCCAAATCTTTTCAGAACACAGAGTACATTATAAATAATGTGTCTTAATATTCTCTTTAATATAGAACCATATTCTACTAAATGAAGCAGTATATAGTTCTTTCATTCTTTCAGAGATTGGTTTTTGGAGATTGAAAAGATATTGGCAAGGATTACCATGCATACTTGCTCCCTTATTTATAAAATGGAAGATAATCACTTAGTTTTGATAAAGGCAGAGAATACATGCTAAATTAATTTAATTAGTGTCACACTGCTTCTTTAGCTGCTTGAAACCTTAAATGTTAAATATCTTCTGACTGGCTTCCTGATGGAAGGTTGTCTGCTATTCAGTAATCATTTGAATCTTGGGCCTTTAGTAGAGTCAGAACTAGTGTCAGAATAAATCTATGTAAGAAGCCATTCATGATAGAGAGAGGGTACCCAGAGTAGTTTCCAGGTTGCACAAGGGGCACACATGTAGTGGGTTTATCTTTTCTGTTAATTATACTTTTACTTTACCTGTAATGTATATTTCATAAATATATTTCATTATGAAAGTATGAACAAAAGTATGTCTTCTATAAAAAAGATATATATATATATATATATATATATATATATATATATAGTTGTTTAGCATTATTTCATTAACTGTTATAGTTTATTATATAATTTTGTTTCCTTCAAATGTGTTCTTTTTTGTTAATCTATACTAATTAAAGGGTAATATGCTAATTAGACCAGGAGACCTTCCGGACGTCCTTCCGGACAAAGCCATGGTGGCGGGGCCGAGGCAGAAGTGGTTAGGGGCGATCAGGCCAGGAGGGGAGGGCAGTTGGGGGTGATCAGGCCAGCATGGGGGGGCAGTTGGGGGCTAGAAGGCCAGTGGGGGGGGGGGCAGTTGGGGGCAAACAGGCTGGCAGACAGAGTGGTTAGGGGTGATCAGGCAGGCAGGCAGGTGAGCAGTTAGGAGCCAGTGGTCCTGGATTGCATCCCCCAAGGGGCCCCAGATTGGAGAGGATGCAGGCCAGGCTGAGGAACACTATCCCCCCCCCCCCCCGCCCCCATACACAAATTTCATGCACCAGGCCACTAGTAATTTAATATGGACTAGAAGTTTATACAGTTTAATATAAGAGAATTCAGGCTAAAAATTATGGTAGTATAGTCTTTTCAAATACTATACAATAAGCATGTCAAACTTGTGGCCCGTGGGCCACATGCCTTGTTTATTTGGGCTGTGTTAGCCTTTGAGTTTGACATGCTTGCTATACAATATCTAGAAAGTAGAATGGCATTTTCCCCACATAGAATATTTGGACTAAATCTTAAAAATAATTTTATAAATAAATTAGGTAAGTTTAAAAAAACTTACTGTTTTTATTGCTTTCAGAGAGGGGAAGGGAGGAGGAGAGAGAAACATCAATTATGAGAGAGAATCATTGATTGGCTTCCTCCTGCATGCCCCCTACTGGGGATCAAGCCTGTAACCTGGGCATGCGCCCTGACCAGGAATGGAACTGTGACCTACTGGTTCATAGGTCAACACTCAACCACTGAGCCACACTGGTGGGGCTAGGCAAGTAATTTTGATGTCAAATATAAAACATAAGTGGAACAATCTTAATTGTTTTCTACTTTTAGTCAGAAAAGTATTTAAAGAAAATCTTAAGGGAGAAGGGACTGAAGTGGGAATGTGCATGCTCATCAAGTTAAGGTGTTCCTGTCCTCAGGGAGTTTACAACATGGTGAAGGAACAGTGAGCAGAAATAAGTAGGGAATGCTTTTGGTACTCACAGTTTACTCTGGACGGGGGTGATACTGTCCCTGCAGTAGCTCTAGTTGATCCTTCTCCTTTTCTGCATCCCCTTCTCATTCTCACCTCTCTAGTAAGAATGGAACTAATTGCAAGTCTTCATGAAAAAGGGACTATTAGATCATAGTTCCTATTCAAGAGAGCCTAGCTAGATACCTGCTTTTCATTTAGAGGAATGCCTAGGGCAAGTATTGTAAAGCACAAAATCTGGGAAAAACAGGAAAGGAAGTCAAGATAAATATTCTCCTTTAGAGAACTGTTGAGTAATTTCTTTGCATTGTGGAGATAATGGCTTTTGTGGCCTGTAGTTACTTTTTTTTTTAATCCTCACCTGAGGATATTTCTCCATTGATTTTTAGAGAGTGGAAGAGAGGAAAAGCAGAAATATCAATGTGAGAGAAACACATTAATTGGTTGCCTCCTGCACATGTCCCGACCAGGGCCGGGGCTGGGGGAGGAGCCTGCAGCTGAGGTACATGCCCTTGACCAGAATCGAACCCCATACCCTTTGGTCCACAGGCCAACGCTCTATCAACTGAGCCAAACCAGCTAGGGCAAGTAGTTATTTCTTTATGGTCTCTGCAGCTGGGGCAGTTAAAATAATAGCCACTGGAGAGGAGATGCTTGTCTTTTAACAGTGATAGCCTTCTGTAAAATAAGTTTGAACTAGAATAGTCAGGGATTATACCTAAGATTCCTTTCTTGACTTACTGTGTATGTCTCTTTGTCCCTTCCCTCCCTGTGCTTCAGGCCATGGGCCTCAGAAGTTAGAGAATGTTCAGTATACTCTGAGTAGAAAGCCCAGCCACCAGAGCCTAGGGGACCAATAGCTGCTAGCTGTGCAAGATGGAATTAGAAAGCGCCTCAGGATAAAGCAAGTGTGAATTAGAGAGGCTCTAATTCAGTGGTTCTCAACCTTGGCTGCACATTAGAATCACCTGGGAATCTTTTTAAAATCCTGATTTCTGGGCCTCATCTCTGGAAATTCTGTTTGTTACTAATGTTGTGGCTCCACCCCATCACAAAGAAACAGAACTGTCCAGAGGATGAGGCCCAGAAATCAGGATTTCACAAAGATTCCCAGGTGATTCTAATGTGCAGCCAAGGTTGAGAACCACTGCTCTAACTTACTACACCTTCACTCTTGCTAAGGTGTCATCTTTTCAAGCTAGTTATGAGTAATATTGTTCAATGTATCACATTTAGCTTTTAGAGTAAAGAGTATTTTAATAATGACAATGAAGTAAATCCACAATTTCGAGCTGAAACATCACAGTGGGGCAGGAACCCTGCCTCTTCCATGTTTATAATGCATCTCCACAATCTTAGCGCATTGCTCAGCACTTAGGAGGCACTCAGTAAAGTTTGTTAAGTAGTATTCCTGTTACTTGATAGCATAACCAAGGCATTACCACTAGTCCTAGTTGAGTGATGTTTTAGCAGTGGTTTCCTAAAATTTCCACTAAAGTAACCCCAAGTAGCAGAGGAGAGAAAGCAAGCATCCCCTTGGGAGTTTTTGGGGCAGTGCCCCAAATAGCCCGCCTCAAGCATAGCATCCATTCATGCTGTTTGAAAAAATGCACCTTTCACATTCTAGTTCATAGAGTTGCTTTTTATATAAAAATAATTCCTCCTCAAAAGAACCTTTGAGTAAAGCTGATGCTCCAGAGCCATGCTCCACATTTAGCCTAGAGCTGTGAGAACCCCTGAGCAGGAGGTGAAATTACAGGCACAGGGCAGTTGCACGCAGAATAGAGGGAATGACGACCCTCTTGATACTGGATTTCAAAAATAGATACAGATAAAGTCACAATAACAACAGTAACAGACTATAAAATGATGTTTCTTTTCATCTGGATTGAAGTTTTCACATCACTTTATGTAGATTCTGTTCTATCACACAATTGGTCTCAGGTTTTAACATGTTACAATGTATTATTTCAACTTAAAGAAATCTCCTTTCCAACAAGGAGACTGAAGTAGGAGAAGTTTGCGTGAGATTAGTCTGAAGAAAAAATGGGGATGTGGAGTTAGGCGATTAACAGCAGAGACTTTAAAAGCACAGTATTGCTTTTTGAGTTTGTGTTTGAAAGTGAATGTCACGTTCTTATAAAGTATTCTCTTTAATATTAGAACCACATTCTGCCATCAGTGGTTCTCAACCTTCTGGCCCTTTAAATACATTTCCTCATGTTGTGACCCAACCATAAAATTATTTTTGTTGCTACTTCATAACTGTAATGTTGCTACTGTTATGAGTCGTAATGTAAATATCTGATAGGCAGGATGGTCTTAGGCGATCCCTGTGAAAGGGTCGTTTGACCGCCAAAGGGGTCTCGACCCACAGGTTGAGAACCGCTGTGCTAGATGAAGCAGTATACAGGGCTTTCCCTTCTTTCAGATACGAGTTTTTGTAGTGTTTGGATTTCATATTCTCTAACTCCTCTAGCAGTAATTTATGGAATTTAAATGAGACGATGCAGATTTCTAGCTTATGTTGAAGGTGTGGAGACGATGGTAATCATT